TTTCTCCATCAACAGCTGTTCGAGGTGGGTGTTTCTCCCTCATTTCTTGGGTCATTCGCTTGGTTATGGTTAGGAATGTTAGTATAGAAAGTATGCGAAAATTGACTTGGTAGGCAGTATTCGGTGCTTGTTTTTAAAACGGGTAAGCACTTGGTGTGGCTTCACTAGGACAGAAAGCGACTTCTTCGCGTTTCGCAGCGCGAAACATTTTTCGCTGCGGGAACCTTGGGTCCACTGATGATCAGGGTTTACGGACTACTTGATTTTTCCTCAATGGTCCTGCCGCGATGGCTAGAGCACAGACGATTAGAGAACGGGTGAATGCCCTAGGACTAAGCCTTGGAGAGGAGAGGGACCCGCGAGAGAGCGCAGAGGCGGTTTAAAGGGCTGAGTTCAAGTAGACAAGACAGATAACAAAGGCCGCGGATTCACTGCTACCGTAATCCTGCGTTAGCATTGGTGCGCGCTGTAGCAAGCATTGGCGCGCCCTTTAAGCGACACAAGCATCAGCGCGGGAGCAGTGGTCAACCAATAAGTGACTAAGGTTTTATCACCTCCTTCATAAGCCTAAGCCTTATGAAGGAGGTAAGAAAGCAGAGATGCTGTAATGGTGTGCATATGCGAGTGTGCCCACAGAACACCATAAAAACCTGAATCACCAGGCCCTGCGGTTGATAGGTGATTACGAGTATTCGCTTATGCCGCTGGCGCCATTTGTCGCCATTTGTGGCCACCTTGTCACGACGGCTGTTTTCACTAAATTCGGCGTAAACCTACATTCGCTTTTAGAACTGGCGCTGACTAACGCATACTTTCTGCTGTCCTGGACTCTCACTTAGGTCTAGTGCCTCTTGATGGGAAGGGGAACACCGCGTTGGGTGAATTGCGCATCGTGTAGTAAGAGATGAAATGTGTGAGATCACAAGGTGAGTGGCTCACCTTGCTCACCTCTGAGCCTCCTCTCGCCAAATGCTTAGTCCTGATAGCGATCAAACCAGTGAGAGGGCGCAAGCGACCAGGAAAACAAGTACCAAATGGCGCCAACGTCAAAAATGAATATCGTATTCGTAATCAGGGCATCGAATTACCCCTATGAACAAACTTCCGACGAAAAATAAAATTTTGAGATTTGGGGCAGTGGAATAGTACCGAAAATTGCTTCGTTTTTCAGTCACTGGGCGGATCGGACTAGTCGTGGATAAATTTGCTAATGGGTAACTTTCGCTAAGTTTCAACGTCGAGTGCATAACCAATAATCATGATGATCTAAGCCGCAATTAACAACCAAATTATGAGAACTACGAAAAGTAATAATCTGAGTGCTCTTTTCCAAGTTTTTCCTTGACTGGCTTGCCTGTGGGGCCGGTGGGGCTGCTAGGGTATGAACCGCTCTTCTTTAATCCTCTCTCAGGACTGCTTACTCTGCTCTATTTTGTGCTCCTTTGTCTACTCTTTATTCCACCGCTTTGTGACTTTCCCAATCTTTTGGCTCTTCGTGCTAATCCTTGCTTCGCCTAAAAAGCGCGCCAATGCTTGCTGCAGCGCGCACCAATGCTAACACGGATTACGGTAACAGTGAATCCGCGGCCTTTGTTATCTGTCTTGTGCCTGAGAAAAAAACTTACGCATGTTTCTCAGAGACTTCTTTCCTCTCCTTAAAGCCAGTCGCGAGGGCTTTCTTAGTACTTCTCGCCAATCTTTATACTCAATTTCATTCAACTGCTCAACCGTCAAATTCAAATCTCAAGACGCTCTCGAAAATTGCCCGGGCAGCCGCGCAGTGGCACGTACGCGACGATCGCCGACGTACCGTATCAATTTGTTATGAGTCCGTTCATCCCAGGTACCAGACAATGTAGCTCGTCGCGCGACGAAAGGCAGAGACGCGGGCGGATCAGTGGCCGAGTCGCCTAGCGTACTGTAGCTATTCAGCGTGAACTAAATAGAATGTACTATAGTACGTCCCACGTCGCGCAATACCGTTGCGACTCGTCCGCTGACCCGTCTGCGTCTCCGCCTTCTCGCCGCGCGACGGGCTTCCTGTCGGGTACCCGTTAGTCTCGATGGTTAGCGGAAAAAGTCAGAGATACAGTAGCCTAATATGAGCTGCCCTTTCGAGATGAAGAGCTAAGTATGTCGATATCACTGATAACAGCAGAGCTATCATTATCGCTGCCTCTAGAGCTACGCCAACAGTGAATTTCGAACGAATCCCGAACTTCGAAGATGTTTCGGAATAGCAACAAGTGAAAATAGCAATAAGAAAACTTATTGTTCAGAGGCCAAAGAAAGGTGCATCGAAGTCTACCAGGAGTAAAAGAAGCACTCGTGAAGCGAAGGCGAAAACTCGTGAGTATCTTCAAGTCTGAAAAGTATCTTCTTCTCCAATTTCTTCACTCAATCCCTTTCATTCAATTTTAAGCCAGCAAGTCTTCAAAATCGAAAAGATCGACGAGGTCATCCAAATCCTTCGATTCCTCAGTGGTACTGCAAATGTTTCAGCTAAAGTTTTTTCATTGTTCTTATGCTATGATAATTTTGGCACACACACTTTTGTTCAGGCCAAAGCAAAAGGAAGTAAGCCAAGAACACCAAGCAGGTCCGGAACATCAGCGAAGCCGGGTTACCAAGGGGATGTGCAGATGGCACTCCCTCCGGCAGTTCCAACTTATACAATGCCACCTCCTCCGGATCCTGTACGTACAGCTATACCTGCACCTCCGACTGTACCTGAACCTCCACCTGCACCTGAGCCACTTGTAAAACTTGACAGTGGTTCCATTGTACTTCCGGCCAAGTCTCCTCCGAAACCCAAGGCTGAAGTGAAGAAGAAAGGCAGCATAAGGCTCCCGTTCTTTGGAAAAGAGAAGACTACCAGCAAAACACTCCCACCGACGGTGGAAAAGAAAAAGAGTCCTGGCAAACTGCCAGGACCAAAATCCAAAGCGTCGAAGACAAAATCTACTTCAAAGAGCAGCGAAACGAAGAAAACCGCCCCGAAAAAATGAGTCTACTTGCATAGCTCAAGTGTTCGGCTTATACCACTGGAACATTTGTGAAACTGACACGACGTTTCCGTTTTACTGTTTGGAAATTATTTCCCTTACGATAAAGTTTCCACTGGTGTTTTAATTTCATTGTTTTAGCTGCTAATCCCTTTGTATTGTACTACAGAAAAAGGAAGAAGGGCCAGGAGGGGGAGGATGAGGTGGGTGGAAAACCAACCTATAAAGACTGTAAATGGAAGACGTCAAGGTGTGCCGAGCTTTTCAAAGGTCTTTTGCATGGCATGCACACATGACGGAACACTTAACCATTGTTAGTTTTCCTGACGCCTCTGTTACTCAGAATTTGGGTCCTTTGATTCCTCTTGGTGACAAATTTTTGCATTTCGAGTTGACGTGCCAAAATTCGCGCAAAATGGAGTTAGCATGAATAATTAGTACCATATTCATGATTAGGACCGTCAGTAACCCTTACAACTAGACATTGAATAAAAACTGTGAAAAGACACAAATTGGCCCCGCGTGGCACCAAAGCCGCCCATGTGGATCACGCCTCTTCACACCAGTTTTTTTAATCAAAGTCTATTGTAAGGGTTACTGACGGTCCTAATCATGAATATGGTACTAATTATTCATGCTAACTCCATTTTGCGCGAATTTTGGAAACGTCAACTCGAAATGCAAAAATTTGTCACCACGAGGAATCGAACTAGGGACCCCTTTTCTGGTATTCAGAGAGGCCGTTCAGAAAAAATGAACCATGCTTCTGTCTTCACTGTTTTGGTTGTAACCTCTCTATCGTGCAAACGATCGTTTGAAAAAGCTCGGCCACCTGAACGGTCCCTCTAGTAAGTTGCAAGTTATGGTTAGATCCGTCTACTATAAGGCTCAGTCAGTGGGTCTTCTCTGTGATACTGTACTGCGATGAGCTAGCCAAATCCGAATAAACTTCTGACGTGAGACATGCTTAGTAATTCTCATTGTGTAGTCGGAGCTCGTGAGACGCCCTCAACCACACAAGCGTGCGCTCTTCTGATGTGCCCCTCCCTCCGACAGAACACTTCGTGGGAAGAACGTGTGCTAAAAAGGTGATTTACATGCGTAAAGGTGTGTCATTCACGCCATAAATTAGTGTTAGAACTCAACAGGTGATATCTCAGTTCTCAAACTGTGCCAGATCGTGGGGATTGTTTTGTTTCCATCGTTCATTCTGACGCATACTAAATGGAACAATTCAAGAAAATTAGCAGACCCGTTCTCAAGGATGTGACGTCCAAAACTTTTTAGGGGCGGAATTTGTATTCAGGAAGTGGGTAATTGGCGCTCTCACGCGCGGTTAGGGAATCAAGTCCTGGATGCTCATGTGTAATCGTGCTTCAGCCAAGACAACCAACCTCCGGGCCGATTAATTGGTACCATACTTGTGTAAGAGGATAAAAGACACCGACTTGTTTATAGGCCAGCCTTCGCAATACATATATAGGCCAATTGACATTTAAATTAGCTCTGTCTACTGACCATTGTCGCTCCGTTCAGCGTCGATTCCCTCGAGCGGCGCCAGCAACGCTCATCGTCCGTCGCGTGCAAATGTCCAGCCTCTCGTTTGAGGACCACGAAGCCTAATTCCTCCTGGACTTCATTGAATGAAGTCCGACCAATCGGCGGGCGATCGTTCGACGTCCGAGGGACGCAGACGATACTGTCTGTCGAAACGTCATCACAAACGCATGACGGTCCGCTCACCTTACGTTCGATTCCATGGGCGAAAACGTCAGCGTCCCGTCCTCGTCTCATGGCAGCTGGTTGGAGTATCGCTGAACGCGATGCTCGTTTCTGCCTGAGAAATTGCAGAATCGAACCGCTGTTCTTGTCTTTTCACTACGACCTTTATCTCGTAAACGCTCGCCGTGCTGCTCGTTTACTCTCAGCTCTGGAGCTAGAGTTTAATCATGTGATGGAAAGGGCTTGTTGATATGGCGCAAGACCTACTTTCCACTTCGTGCTAGCGATCCAACCGATATGTCGTATACTTAGCATCACTACATAGAAGTTTACGCAATGCACATTGCTGAACTTTTCACTTTTCGTTATTTCTGGTTGCTCTTTAGCTCCGCACTAAAATCCAAACAGATGGGGCAAGCTCGCTGTGATCGCACATCACATCGCTTTCATGCCAAAACACCAGAACGTTCATGCGAATGTGTTGAAATAGATGGCACAAACAAGTGGTAGGGCCACGCCGTAGTCTTCGATTTCGGTAGCGCGAAATGTATGCACGCTGCTACGACGTGACGAGACGCTATGAAGTAACTCAAAATTCCAGCTTCTCAAGCATGTCAAGTGACTGCCCTCACTACCCCACCCCATCTTCCTAGACTGGCTACATTCCCCTGGCTCACGAATTCCCCAATTCTCGTGACACCATAGTAGCGAGCAGCAGTCCCACTTACATACATTTCGCGCTTACCGTATTCAAAAAATAAGGCGTGCTCCATCCCATTTGTATTGCACCGATGGTTATTTCCTGTTGCACCAGTGAACTTCTCAAACTTGATAGAGCAAATATTTGATTGACAACTTCCACTTATTCTCATCGTATCCGGCTTTCAAAACGACTAGACTAGACTGTGTAGACTCTCTAGCTTATCGCAACAACGTATTTGATCCCGTGTCCCTTAAGGTGTCTGTTCATTGGACAACCATAGCTCAAGACCGAGAACGATGGAAGAGAAGTTGGGACCCGCGCAAGGCCAACCGCCAAGCAGATGGACGGGTCGTCTGAATATCTGAGTGTTCGGCTTTCAGAACGGGCGCAGTAGAAGGGTGATGAGGTGCAGCTAGTTCTACAAGTAGACCAAACGAAAAAATTGACTATTCGATCTTTCCTCTGTATTCTTTGGCAGAAGACAGCGACTACTTCTGCTTTTGTCATGCGGAAGTCGGAATCTACAGTCATAGTGTGTGATTTTACATAGGCAACGCTGAGCAATGGAAGCCAGAAATACAAATGAGTATTCGTAAGTTTCCTTCCAGCCTGTTGAACTTTTCCGCTTAGGCAACGAGCTTCGCTGGTCGAGAGCGGTCAAAACAACATCGTGTAAAAAATCCAGCGATTATTTATTCATCTAATGATCGTTACACGTACATAATTAGTTTCTTGTTGATATGTTAAGAATTTCTGCAAACAATTGGAGTCTTCTTATTGCATCACGCTTAATACGTTTGAAAAGCGCCCAGTGGTATTGTAGGCGGTTTCTCGTCAGGTGCAAGAAGTTTCAGCACCTTCACGAAAGTCAGCCCTCTCTTCTGGGTTCTGAAAAACATTTTATATGAGGGAACAGAATAGTGTGTCACAAGATCCAGATAGAACTTCTCTTTCAACACCTATCTACTGTACTGCGTTACTTCGGCCTACCTTGACGAAACAAACATCCATTACTTCCTGTACAATAGGTGGACTTCCTTCGGGCGCAGACATGGGCGCTGGATCATGCAGGATATGCTCTTTTGCTTTTGCATTCGTTTCTCCAGGAAATGGATCGGACGCACAACGTGCGAAAATTTCCCAAAGTAACACTCCAAAACTCCACACGTCAGTTTTTGTCGAGAATAGCCCCTTGAAAATGAATTCGTTGTAAGTTTATAGGCCATTTAAAAACGATTACCTGTCGAAGTGTTTCTGGTGCTAGCCATTTGATTGGGACGCTTTTCAACTTGTCCATTTTCATTTCTGTCTTGTCTGCTATAGAAAGACCGAAATCCGAGATTTTCAATTCATCTTTCTGCCCTAATAAACAGTTTCGGGCAGCTAGATCACGATGAATAACCTAAAAGTTACTTGTAATAATTTTGGTTGATCCTAAAAGCCTAATCTATCAAGGTCAGGAACTTTTCGTTATTCACTTCTGTTAGAATCAATAGGTATACATGTGGAGCATCGAGCCACTTTGGGCGCACATCCAAGCACTTACAACTTCTAACACATATACCGTTAAAGGCAGCGATTACCATAGACTCTGGAGTTATTCAAAGAGAACGTGGGGGTGCTCAATGGTACGCCAATGGCGAAAAAAGCAGAGAAATCCGTCAAGAATACGCAAAAAGTACCCCTTTAATTGCCCGTTTCATTTTCGACCATGGATGAGCGACGACAAAGAAAGAAGTTGTTCGGACGTGTTAGCCGCCATCATGCCAACAAGCATAGTGTTTTGATTGATAAGGCATTACATGGGCAAGTTGGAAGATACAGCCGCTAAAGGGAAATGATCTCCAAAATGAAAAGCCAACAGCAGACAGCTCGCCCAAGTCACCAACTGAACAACTGGGCGCAACGCTTTCGCGAGTGCTTCGGATGTCCTGCCAAACTGAAGACAGTTACCGGAGTCATGATAGCACGTCCAACGGTATGCAAAAAACCACTGAGCTCTCGGCCACACAAGTAGTAACAACATCGCGCAGATGTGCGATGTCCGTCAGATTCGGCGATTGCGCAATCGCTCTGCTCAAGTGCACAAGCGACGGTCCGCCTAAGGTCGATATCTGCCGGCAGGAGCATGGATGGATTGATGGATTGATGTTATTTCAGTGTATCAGGTCGCTGTCATCTTCGATGCTCTACAACATTACTTCGTTTTCTTTGCACGATCCCAAACTTATCTTTACGGTTTACGTTCACGAAATTGATCTTACTATGTGAGAGTGAGAGCCAACGCCCGTCGCTTGTGCACTTTGCAGAACGATTCTGCCATCGCTCGGTAATCACGGTATCGCCGAGTTTGCTGGGCATCTAACGAAAATTATGTCGCGGTGGTTGCCGAGGTCCAAACTTGTAAGATATAAATGCGTTAGTGTATCACAAGTAATGTTACTGCTATTGGTATGCTACGTCAAAGCGATAATGCGTGAAAACAGACCTGACGAGCAGCTAAGTAGCACATCCCTCGAGCCCCATCAGTGGCAAATTGTATCAGCTTGGAATCTGGGATATCGGCATGCGTTTTGCAGTAGTTCTGAAAACAACTTCCTTGCTATAGAATAAGTACAATAAAATTACTGATTTTGTATATCACTGAACAGTTTCGTTTGTGAAAACCGAAATTGCTTTTGTTTTTGTTTTTTGATCTTAATATTGTTATATGTACTTTTTTCAAAACATCTTTTCCGGGAAAGTTCTTTCTTTCAACACGGAAGTAGGACACTCAATAAAAGTACTCCCGTTGAAGCTTCTCAAATGGTAACCAACCAAATGTTTCGATCTACAACATGATCAAGCAGGTTGGACATGATGGTAGTACTTTATCTGTGAATCTGCGAATCCTACTGATCATACTTCAGTGTTATGTGTAGTGTAATACTTCGACATCACAAATTGCGCTGTTAAGTTCTACAATAACTCAAGTCCAAAAATTTCATGGTGTAAACGTCATTGGACTTTGGCACCATATTGGAGATGTACTCGAAACATGTCGTAACATCAAGAGATCATACGTACATTGTAAGCTGAACTACGTATTTTGTCTTGTACTATACTGTTCCACTTTCTTTTTAGTTTGAAGAATTCAATATCTGAACCTTCAGTGATCCACCACTTGCCAATTCAAGAATGATCATTATAGGTTCCTCTTGTGGAGCCACTCCGTAAAATCTTACTATATTAGGGTGATCAAATCGTCGCATCAACTTGGCTTCCTAGAAAGTTTCCATCAAACAAATTGGTTAAAACTGGTACGTCCGTGTAACGAAACTCACCTCAAAAAACGCCGAAAGTTGAGCTTTTTTGATGCGAGTGCCTCTCAACATTTTCACCGCGACGTCTATTTCCTCGTCATTTTTCAGTCTGAGCTTTCCCAAATTCACTTCACCAAATTCTCCGTCTGGAATTGGTAAGTATAGTCGCTTCTCATTATACCCTGCGCTGGAAAATCATGATCACTGGAGTATAATTTAAGCACTTTTACTGTGGTTGTAGTGATCACCTCCAATGAAGAACCTAGAAATGCAATGAAAACCCACGTCCCAGTTTTTTCAAAATTGTTATGTGCTCGTGTAGGAAGTAGTAATCCGGTCGTGGGAAAGGTGTTTTCAAAATCACTCCTGATGGTGGGATAGGTTTTGCAGTTTGAACCAGTTCATCAATAAGTTCTTTGAGAGATGGTTTTGAGATCTGTAAAAAAAACCGTATATGTAGGTGTGGCGCAAATATAACAAGTTTTCCATTACTTAAAATCTAAATCTAAATTCAAGAAGGGATGACATCTTATGGAAGAATTAAAATCCATTTCGTGATACTAGGCCGCAGTCGGCGGTGCTCTCGCGTCGCCATCGCCATGTTCAGAATTAATAAAAATGTCGTGTTTTATTTAACTCAAACTCTTGATCTAGAAACAAGTCGTCGAAAGTGAAGTCTGATTAGTATTTCATAATGAGGCACAAAAAAATTGAAGACGCCTGATGTGTACCAGTGTTTGAAAGTATTATAAATGGAAGGCAAACCCGGATCGAGAGGGGTATGGGCTTTTTTTGTAGATTCATTGAAGATGCCTCTAATCCAGCATTTCATCTCGCTAATAATCAATTTACTGTTTGAACTACTCTGGGGAGTAAGCTAACATTGTCAGTTGTTGATGCAGACTGTGGACCAATATTGTTTGGCTCTGATTGCAGATGACAATAACATATGATGCAAAATTCTTTACATTTTCGTTTTTCTTTTGCTTTTTATTTATCTTTATAAGGTGAACATTCGCGTCTGTACAATAAACGACAACGAATACGATGGAAGTCACGTGTTGACTGATCTTGGTGTCGATTGCCTTCTCATGTAAGGTTTATCCGGGATTTCTATTCACAATGCGCTAAACTCTACTAAATTCACTGAAACTAAGTTTAAGGAAAAGATATGAAGAAACGACACTGAAATGGTAGAACATATGGAAATGCAAGCGCGCGGAAAAATTTGTGTATGCTTCTCAGCCGCCATGTATTTCATCATTGATGGTTGGTTTAACCTGAGATTCATTTTTGTCAAGCTTGTCAACCCTTTCAATGATTGGCACATCGTCATTTCGAACTCTCGCTTCAACTTACCATCCTTCCTTTGTTAAGCACAAGTGTAAATACATAGTGAATAATCTTTTTTAATTCCTGAAATGTGTCTCCTATGACTACTGTACATAATTTCTTCCAAGACAAAATACTGTCATTCAATAATTAAAGATCGCAGTGGATAGTGATAGTTTGGCAATTCTACAGAACCCTCCAATCTCAGATGCTCTAGTCATTCAGGGATTACGAAGCCATAGCAGTTGTTGTGCCCCTCAGCATAGGTCATGGTCACTACTTAGTTCAGGCACTTGTCGCACTATGACGCCAGTGTCCCAAACCCACCATGGTGAAATCTTTGCGTCCTTTTCCTGCCTTGAAGTGAATCTACCGATTATCACGTTACTTGTGGAGGCTGTCTTCTCATGAGCTTGACGATTACAACGAAAAAATTACTAAAGTATTCCAACTTAAATACGTGCCACAGGCATGCCAACAAATAACCAACGAGTGTTCTATTAGCAGGTAAGTTCGTAGCAATCTTGTTTCTGTGTTTCCACAATACCTGTGTTCGGTATTCAAAAACTTTCTTGTTGCTGTTGTACACTGTATTCATCGGCTTTTCTAATGATCCAGTTACTTTCATGTAGGGTCATCGAAGCAAAATCCAGGCAGCAAAATTGACCATTTTTGACATATTGTATTCATTACTTTTCGAGAAAATAAGCGAGCGGTCAAAGCGGCCCTGCAGGTCAAGATTGCCTTGCGCGATTTTTTTTTGAAAACACTCCCCCTTTTTACAGAAAAGATCTGCCACGATGCCGTCATGAGTCAAGGACTTGCGTTTAGCCCTAATCATGCTATGGAAATCTTTGTGAACAACATCGTCGACAAGTCGCAAATCGCCTAGGTCCAACGTGGCCAAAAACGTCAAACGTGCTATCAAAATTAGCCAGTCACCTCAGCTACTGTGATTTCTTTCAAAAGAGATTCAACCGTTTGGTCGAGAGGTGTCGATAATTTTCAGACGCAGGGGACAGCAACATTACTATTCCAAGAAAGAAAGGGATATCGCATAGAAAGAGATCTAAATCAAAGGGGCTGAATGAAAAACTTATCGTAGCATTTCTTCAAAATGCGATTAGATTACCTTTGGTCAGACCTAGTGACAAAGGAGACTTGGTAAAGCATATGCCGTTCGTCACCTTCCAGCCGCCGTCCGAAAAGTTCATGCTTCCTTCGGGGAGAAGAAGATTCAGTTAAAATGTAAGGAGTAGCGAGGCTTCACTTTTCAAAAGAATAATAGTCGAGCGGATTAAGATTAGGATTTTGCTCATGAATGTTGTTTTTCACTCGCGCGCTGATTGCACGTGATGTGTTGGGAATGTGTTCGCTTTAGCGTTTAACGATTAGCTCTGAATTGGGGTACCGAGCAGTATTCACAATCACGAGACAACTTCGACGATGCTGGCCTGTTGGTTACAACAGCTATGAAGAGCATTTTCGCGCCGACGACAGTGCAGTCAAAAGTTCACGGCTAGAGATGAGATTTAGGGGATAATGTTCTGCATCAGATATGATATTCCGACAATTTTCCAGCAGACCCCAACAATTTGATCCGTTCTCGCAGCCTCTACTGTAGAGAGTATGAGTTGATCTGGACGACCACCTCCAGCGCGTGGACCGCTCTGACACATTCCCAGTGAATTTACCGAATTGTTCAAGCCATAACAAAGCGCATCAATCATGAGGGAGTGAGTAAATGTCTAATGAGATTTTTTTCACCCATCCATCTCTTCAAACTCGTTTTTTCCTTCTCTTTGGAATACAGAGGTTGTTCCAAACGGTCATTGTTTTCCGCACCTTGCTAATGGATGTATGTTACTGACAACCCTCTTATTTTATGGAATTGCATTATTGAATGATCATTAATTGCTGTTCATTCTTTACCACTTTTGTTTTCATTTCCTGCGTACACCTTACGCCTTCGTCATGTGAGGTCAGGACCCCGTAGAGAGGATGCTTATTAACAAATGCTTATGCAAATTCCTCAGTTTTGTTAGGGATCGGTTTATTTCATTAGTTTATGTCCGCTCTTTCTGCGTAAGGACAGATATGATCTTTTTTACGACAAATTTTCACAGGGATGCATCAACACACCGACTATATTACACAACAAAGAACCGAAAACGAATTAAGCGATTTATCTGACAGAAGGGTGAACAGGTTGGAGGAGGTCATACAGAACTCACTCCTGTTTATTGTAGGGATGTATGCAGGGCTCTGCTCTTAAGCACAGGGAGGCGATCAACGTAATGAGCTATGTTTGCGAACCAATCTATGACCCACTCTTTCTGGGGCTTACTTGAAAAATTGAAAAAGCTCGGATAGATTCTGAAACTCGTAGAATTGACAAACATCGCTATCCACGTGATCCTTCAGTCTTTTAATCTCAAATATTAGGTTGGAAAGGAAAATTCAAAATACCCCTCACTATCGTTTTGGAAATTACTTTTTGTTTTGTGATTTATACTGAGATATAGTAAGTAGGATCTTTAACATGTTGACCACTTTCAACAACAATACGGCCTTTTAGCAGCTAGTGGATGCCATATTCACTAGAAGATTTCTAGTGAAATGATTCTAGATTTGTGGTCCTTTTCATTGAAGAACATTTCGTTTTCCATGTAGTTAGCCAGCGGCCAAAAAAGGTGAAGATCATGTGGGATCTACCGTATAGGGATTTATAGCGGGGTCATGCTTGAAAAATCTTCTAGCGCTTTGCGGAAGCGTGTTATCGTGGATCAAATTGACTTGTGGTCGCCGACCATAGTTTCTTTTGCGACCGTGGCGTGGGCAGCGCTTTCCATCGTTGATCCTGCAGACAGACATCATAAGTGGGCGATGCCGTCACAATTCCTCAAGCTTGGCAATATCGTAATGGCTCCTCTAATGTAGGTCAAAGCAGAGAAACTCTAGTTCCGCATACTCCGAGTCACTTCTGCTTCCTCGTGTGGTTCAGCAGGTCCACTTGTACTTGTCAAAGGCCGCATGTCGCTGCGAATCGCCCGCCCTTGGTGTGCAACGGGAGATAATAGTGCAGACGCACTCTTTCCCAGAATTAGCACGAACTCAATGTTTTAAAACGTTCCTTCCAACCTAATATTATATTTTGCTTGAAAGAAATTGAAACTTCGCAAGCTATTTAGGTTTTAATAAGAAAGCATAAACACCGCGTCAATGTACGACAAGTGCCTAACAAATGAAGGATGACAGATTTGGTGACCTTTAAAAACTGGAAAATGGTTGTAAACGGAATATGTCGTGCACTCACATCTTTTAATGTCCAGGTTCCATTGGAGTACCCAAGTGGAACATGCTTAGTATCGCTTGTATGTTTTACTGACAAGCAATAAGTAATCTGCCTGGCTACGGTCGTTTTCCGTACCAGATAGTCTCCCTGAATCTGAAACTCAATCCTGTCAGACCAAAATCGAGAAATGTCCTTTAAATTCCTCTCATTTACCTTTAACATGTCTTCTACCTCTTTACGTGGAATCAACCCATGGTACCAAGTATGTGCTGTTAGGGCCTTGTCTACTTGCTAGAATAAAAGGGATTAGAAGCTATCACACTGAAATCTGTCATTGGACTGTCGTTTTAGGCCACAGTTAGCGCAGCGAAAGTTTTCACAAGAATGATGAGTTTGGGCGAAACTGTACCCCGGTGTTGTGACTGGCAGCACAATTGCTCGGAAAGGGTGAGATCCGGGTAGAAATTCCAGCGGGATGAACGTTCTGCTCACAACTCAAC